AGAAACCATTTCACACATATTGTTCAGTTGCACCAAACATGACAACATCAGAAGCAAGTACAAATCCTTCAATGAAATCTTCACCGTCGAAGATTTCATAGCCAAACATCACTGGGAACATCTGCATGATATGGTCAAGTATATAAAAGAAACAAAATCACAAATATAACATGAAGGCACACAGACAAAGTTTGTTTTTCGCACACAGACAAAGTCTGTTTTTTAGTTCCCAACGCGCTTAGGGATATTTAAAAAAATAAAAAAAAACTAGCTCGTTCGATGTTTTTCACCACAAAAGTAGAACACATGTATTTATATAAATGTTACCGAAATACGTCGAACGTACAAAATTTCAAGTTGAACAATTTCAACTTTGACAGAACGTATGTTTCATTTTTTTCTTTTGTTGGAAACAAAAACAAAACATTCTGAAAATTTGAAATTTCGACTGGAAAATAAAATACGTGGATTAATTTAATAAATTTTCAATTTTGTTTTGCGGTTTTTATTATTTGCATGAAGATATGGATTCGACGTATTTGGGTAATACGGCCGTACACAACATTTTGCCATAGTGGGGAAGTTGAATATTTTTGTACGCCCCGTCGAATTTTAGGTAACGTTGTAAACATGGTACAATAATACAAGGTAGCGCAGGTTGAGTTGAATAACAAAAAAACAACTATGTAGCTGGTGGCGTCTTCTGCCAAATATAAAATAAATATACGCAACAAGTGGTTGTGTTTATTTGACATTTTTTCAACACATAACTAAAAACGCGAAAAATGAATGAAAGGTTATTATTTCTTTCCAAATTCCAGTAGGGAATACCATGAAATATTTATTATGGATGAACAAAGTAATTACTTCCAGACGGACGCGTTAAAAACATCATTTTCATTTCAATTAAATTTGAATAAATTTTAAAATATTTTGAATTTATTTGACATAGTATTCAAAACAGTACGCACACATACACAAAATATTTTGATTTGAAGGAACAAGCCGCCCTGAGAAAAAGTAATAATTATACCATGATTTTCCGTTACGGAACATTTTCCCTTTTACTAGTTTTACTATGAAAAAAGTACTAGAACCAAGGTTTATTCATAAGGTTAACAGGCAGCCGAATTCATGCCTTAGTCTCCTCTTGCTGTCAACATTTTAATCGCGAAATACCAAAAAAGATTTCCAGGCGCGTCGGTCTTGTGCACAGCTCATTCAATTTGAAATACCATGTTCCGAGATCTTTCCATGTTGGCCAACACACTATTCTTCTCGGGATTTCAAAGCATTTGTGATTAGTTTTATTTATGGCGGTACCGAGTTATATAAAATTATTCACTACCTCGAAGCTGCAGTTTTCAAGTTCCGCAGTTGGTCTGAGTCTACTGGACTTCTTGCACGTTGATAACATCAGCTTGGTCTTCTCGCCATTTACTGCCAGTCCCACTTTGTCAGACTCCTTCTCAATTCGTTCAAAAGTGGCTGTTACCGCTCGCAATGTTGGACCCATTATGTCGATGTCGTAGGCGAGTAACATGTGCTGTTTGGTGTACAGAGTGTTATTTCTGTTCACATTTGCATCTCGTATGATCTTTTCCAGCAGGATGTTAAACCGGTCACATGGCAAACCTTTGTCTGAATCCTTGATCGGTATGGAAGGCTCTGAAAGATCCTTTCCAACTTTAACTGCTGACCTTGTCCCTATTTTGCAGTAATGCCAAACACATGTCTGAGCGGAACAATACACACACATACGCAAAATATGAATTATTATTTGATAGAACACATTGTAACATTGTAATCAGATGAATACATATTTCAATTTTACCGAAATACGTACTACGCTAGTACAATTATACAAGGTTGGTATCTTTTGTCAATAATGAAAAATACATCTCTACGTTATGGTCTATACGGCCCGAATAAATAAAAACAAATGCAACAAGTCGTTCTATCCATTTGTCACATATATTAGGTTCGGGAAAAAGAAATCCATTATTTTTATATTTTAACATGCTTCGGAATGTCCATTTTGTTGTATGATTTGTTACCATTTTAAAGGTAACTTCATAATGCCTCTCTGATAGAAGTTCTGCTCTCTATCTGCAAAAAACTCTAGTAGTCGATGTTCACAAACCTCCCTAGTTACGAATTTTTTATCATGAAAGAATTTTTGCAAGAAAAATATGATAATAGCTTGGTGTCAAATTCGTACTGTATGGCGGAGGTATTAAAACTTCCCAACCATGCTCCCGAAGTTTCTGGCGAGTCACTGTAGATGTGTGTGGCCTAGCGTTGTCCTGGTGGAGCAGGACACCTCTCCTGTTGGCCAATTCTGGCCGTTTCCGGTCAATTGTAAATGGTTTAAAACAGTTTTATTGACATTTTCGACAACCTACCTGTGCGTTGTGCATCGTTAACATCAAAAATTCCTGAACGGAATCTACGAAAAGCAAAATTACAGTATCGGAACCATAAACACCATTCACAATTTTAGCCGCACAGTATCACATTTTGTATACGATTTTGATATAACAAGCCACAACATGAAAAATATAATTTATAAGTTGCTATGGCCTATCTTGTACCATGGTTTACACTATCATACAATTTTATAGCTCCAACTCATCATAGTTATATCGACGGTAACTTAAATCCTTGTAAGACATGATTTGATGATTCATTCTATAGGTATTCAAGAATTATAGAAAGAACCCTTGTTATAATTAGTTGTGCTTGTCATTTCAGTAAAATTCTTAAACACGACTTTATTTGCTTTATGTTGTATATTTATTACACATTTATTAGAAAAAATATTGTCATAACATGAAAAACACTAATATAGTACAAAATGTGTATGTCTATTCGTAAACACAAAATAAATTCTTATTAATTTTACTATATATTACAATTAAAAGCAAAATTAGTCTTAAATATCTATAATTACAAACACTTCATAATTACTCTTTTCAGGTTCCTGAATTACTTGCATTGCAGAGTATGTGATGGCCTTAACTTCGGTGCCCTGAGGATGTTTATCCAAATCGAAAGGTTCGCCATAACATTTACATTCAATTTCAAAGTTTTCCAAATCGAATTTAGTTATTTCCAAACGTCTGCAGACCAAGAAAGGTTCGGCTGAAAACAGGAACAGCAATTCATCCAAGAAATGGAAAAGCAGTCCCTCAACATCATCACCTTTGGCTTCAATTTGATAGCAGGTCTCCACGGATATATAGTCCAGTTCTGTCATATAACCAAACATGGCCATACCGCATTGTTCAAATGCTTCTTGAAGAGTTTCACCCCAGGCATGGAGTCTAGAATTGAATAGGGAAAGATGTTATTAATTTGATATGTTGTTGTTATTGTTAATTCTTGGCATTTCAACTTACTGTACATCGGCTGTATGATCCAAATCTGCAAATGAAATTAAATATTAATGTGGGGAAATCCATTATTGCTCCAATATTCCATTCATCACATCCAACAGTACTTACATTCGTATTTAATATCGGGTAGACGAAAATCTTCTTTGCTGAATTCAACTTCCATTTTTACTTAGTTCTTTCTTTTTTTCTTATGCAAAATTAGAATTTAAATTAATTATTTTTTACTAATAAAGGCAGCACACTGATCGTCAGCACAATTTGAGAAATGTGTCATCGAGTTTGTTTATTTTTTTGTGTTGAGGGACATGCTTTCATATGTCAAGCCAAGAACAGCTGTTAGCCGGCCAATATCATATGTTTGAGAATTGTAATAGATTAACCCGGTTAATGTGTGCTGATATTCCGTTACAAAATGTATTCAATTCAATTAAGGCAGAGGTGTAAATGAATGACTTGTTCGTTTTCAAAGAAATCAGACAATGGGATTTGATTGTTAGAAAAATCGTTTTCAATTGTTCGGAAAGAAAGAAAATGTGACCTTAAACCATTTCTCCATTTCAGAACCTGTAAGAATCTTCCATTAATCATAAAAAGTTTTCGATTTTCCGTTTATAAATTTTAAAATTTTAATGGGGTTATGACGAGAAAAAAGAGCTTTAGAAAATGGGGTGAGTAGCGGCGGCTGTGGTTCAATGATGGAGGAGATGACAAAGCTGTGTCGTATGCTATGAGAAATGACATGGAAAAGAGGCGATTCATTGACGAGTTAATATTGTACATTGAGGATCATAAGGATGAGTTTATGTTGTTGGTAGATACGAGAGGTGTGGAAAATGTGAAAAAAAAAATAAAATAATTAAAAACTACACCTTTTTCAAATGTCATTCAAAACATTTCAATTGCAATTCGAGAATTTCATTCGTAATTCGAAAACTCAATTTCCAATTCATAACACTTCACTTGTAATTAGAGTATGTATTTTGTAATTCACAACGTTTCATTTGTAATTTTAAACTTTTCGTATGAAATTCAAAAAATTCCATTTGAAATTTAAAAAAATTTCAGTTGTAATTCATAACAATTCATTTCAAATTCATTCATATTCCTTGTGGGTTACCAATAATATTTTTCGAATTTAAAATTAAATGTTTTGAAAAACAAATGGAATGTTATGTATTTTAAATCTAATGTTAAGAATTTCAAATGGAATTATTTAAATTTCGAATGGAATTTTGTGAATTTCAAGTAGAATTTTATGAATTCAAATGTAATACTTGGAATTTCAAATGGAATTTTATGAATTTCGAAAGGTATGCTATGAATTTCGAAAGGTATTCTATGAATTTCGAAAGGTATTCTATGAATTACAAATGGAATTCTCGAATTACATTTGATATGTTTTGAATAACATGTGAAAAAGGTGTATACCCTTATTTTATGAAAAAAAAAACAAAGGTGCTAAAGCAAAGGAGTTAGAGAAAATGAAAGCTATTGATGTGACACTGTATAAAATCACGTTTGAAGACATGATGTAGACAAATAATTTGGTTGCCAATGAAGATATAAGAAAAAGGAATTTAAGAGAATTCATTCCAAAGAATCTTGTTGACACTTTTACAGTGATAAGAAATATTCCTTTGTGCTTCTCGGAAGAGGTACTATTAAAAATAATTGTTGATATTTACAATTGTACATTGGATAAGCTAGGTAATCCTGTAACAATAATACCTGAAGTAATTAGAATAATAACAGGTGCGGCAAAATTGTTCTAGTTTATTTACATTAATACGCATACGCATTTATGTTCTCATTCTCTATTTTGTTTATTCCTTCGTTATCTAGTCTGCCATATTACATACTTACTGTACATAACATATATGGGCAATATTGCAAATTTTATAACATAGCTGAAGCGGATATTCAAATGAATGATATGGGTAACCGCGATCAGTAAGGTTTTTTACGTTTCGGATGATATAAAACCTTCTTCGTGAAAATCCATATACTAGAACGGCGGGAACTGGCCTTCCAAAAACACGAAATTTGGAAAAAAAATGTTTTTGAAAATATATGGGATGTATGTGGATCATTTCCGCTTCAATAAAAGGCTTGGTATGGATTTTGACCTTTGTCGAAAACAGAACTTTAAAAACTTCAGCCGAAAGAGAGATGTACACAATTTATTTCAAAAATAGAGTGACCTTGGTTCTTAATGGACCGCATTGAAATCGGTATAGATGTATTTTTTTAGGGTGCACACCGAAATCGGATGCGAGTTAATGACATATGGAGTTTTCGGAAATTATTCGCGTTTTACGAATTTTTGGGTACTTCAATGCAACATGTAGTACATCTTAGCCGTCAAATGAAATTTCGCAAAACATGCATGGATTGGAATATAAACTTCAGTACTTCCTGGAAACCGCATGCGCATCAAATGATTTTGAGAATTACGTGATTTAGACGCAATTTAAAATGTATACTTCATAATATAGTTTTATTTTAAGATTTATTCCTACTTATAGAACCCCAAGATTTATCGGAAGGGTCTTGCTATAATCCGCTAGATGTATACTTATACACATGAAGTGAATATTTTTATATATGACAATTTTTCGGCGAAATTCGGGAAAAATAGCAGAATAACCCCAACATTTTTTTTCTGAAATTTCTGGTATAAAATTAAAAAAATATTTTTCCTCAATATCTTGTTTTGTTTTCGCTGTGATTTACAAACCGCTACACGGACTTGTGTGATTTTGATATCATTTGATTCATCATGGTGTTTAGATTATGTAGATATTTTTAAATTAATGTTTAGGTGTATGTATGTCATTAATATAATGAAAATATTGATGTAATCTGCTATATTTTTTTATTTTTCTCATATTTCGCGAAGATGTGCAACTTTATCGCGATTATTATAATATATTAATATTCTTATTTTATGGAGGAAGATCTATATCAACGTTTTTGGTCAATATAATAAAATAATTTTAAGTTTTTTTCTTATGCCCAAAATTAAAACCTCGATAAATAATAAAACACATTTGTATACATTCATAGGACTATTCCAAACAAAAAAATCACCATCTCATATAAAATAACAACAAAAACCTAAAACATAAATTATTCTAATAAAAACCTAAAAGTAACAGTCGTTTCTCTTGAAATAGGCAATAATAGTGACTTGAGCAAGAAAAAGTGTTGCTATCTCGAAATAATACAAATAACAATAGCAACAAATTTGGTTAACTAATGAAATGATGTAAGGGAAAATATCTAAATGACTCATTGAAAATATCTGTAAAAGCTGTGCTAACCAATTCATTGATCATTGGTTTAATGAACGGAAGGCCTAGAGGCCAAGCACTATTTATAACACCATCTGAGACATTGTCAAGACGTGCACGCCCCGGAGCCAAAACATCACCCACATGCATTTTCATGCCACCAATGCGATCAACTTCTACGTGGATTTTCAATAGGGTACCAGGTCCGCCCAAACGTCTGACACTGGTCGTTTGACTATGGAGAGAGAGAGAGAATATTCAAATTAATACTGGATAGTTAATATAACCAACTTCACTTACCTATAATCATATAAGGTCATATTCCAAAATCCACTTCTCTTAATGGGTGTACCAAACAATTTACCCGAAAATTCATACCAGCCATTTAGACTCTTTTCGGGGAAATATTGTGAATAGATGATACGATTTTGCTCAAAATCCGAATGGAATTTGGTAACCTCTGACTGGGTCCAACCATATTCGGAGACATTGCGTAAAATCAACTTGAAGCCCAAACCATTTTGATCTCCTCTGCGTAATTCAACAAATGAGGCATGATGGGGATCGAAGGGTTTAATGTTGTAATCGGGTATGCCTAAAACCCAAAATATCTCATAGAAAACAACGGTATTCTTTACACACACACACACACGCATACATACCTGTTGGAAAATATGCTCTGAAATCATTGAAGACATCTTTCATACAAAAATCAAAATCTTCACTCTGCAAATGACATTTGCCCAACAGACGTGTCATCTCTTCACGTATCGAGGGTTGTTCAATGGCATCGGTGGTTGGAATGTTGATGCCACAAATGACAAGTAATGCTGTAGCATAGGACAAGATCATTGACATTGCCTTCTTTTGGTAACTACTTTTGATGATTGTCATTGTTTTTAATGACTTTTTCATGTATTACCTTTGTTTACTGTGCGTATTCGATTCGATTTCTCAGTAGCTATAAATTCTAAAGAAAAGAAAAAAATACAAAACGAGATGAATTACATAATTTTTAATGTTATTACAATTATGTGAGATCGAGATTGTGGATTAGTTTCCGGCTTGAAGACAAATTTTTTTATTTTGGCCATTTCTGTTTGAAGTGGCAATACTTCCGTATCGAAAAAAAGGTTGGAACATAAAACAAGTAAAATCGTCGTTAGGTTCAGTCGAGCCGAAATAAGTTGCACATTTCAAATACATACAAAAATTTTGGGTTCTGATTAGATGTCAAATATTTTTACCCAAAATTCTAAACATCGGGTTCATGTAACGTTACCCCCACTTTTGGATATTTTGAAGATTGTAAAAACGAAACGGGTTAGTATTGTTAAACTCCTTGCACATTAGCACTTTTTATCGGGTTAACCTACTTTATGAGAATTTATTTGACGTATATGTAAACGAATTGACAATTGAAACCCACTGGGTTAACGAAATCCGGTTAAATGTAAACGTACTATTACATGTTCGAAAAGTCACTTTCACTTTAATATGGGCTTTAACATGGCAAAGCCCAGACTTATCTTGGTCCCTCTTTCATCTCAATTGTGGACACTGTCCTCCCCGTGGTGTCACCTGTGGTAGATCCTTTCATCACCCGTTGAAATAGTGAGCTGATATGTGCCGCGAGTTCACTCATAAGAACTATAAAAAAATGGGTTGAGGCGTCGGATTAGTTGCCCACACTCGGAAAACCCTCTTGATATTAAAAAGCAACAAAAAAGAGATTTTAACGAAAAAATCGGAAGGGAAAATATTTTTGGCCACACCGTCGGAAAATTAGGCCTCCATGAAGACACATCAGGCAAACGGCATGAAATTGAATGACTTCGCGGGAGCAAAAAACATGACAGTTAACAGCACCGGATTCAAACATCTCGATATACACAAGGCCACCTGAATTTCTCCCGATAAAGCAACGAGAAATCAAATTGATCATGTTGTGATAGACGGAAGGCAGTCATCCAGTATTTTAGATTTTCGATCGGTTCGTGGATCTAAAATCGATTTGGGCCATTATCTTGTAGCAGTCAAGGTTGGCACTCGTCTTAATGTAGCAGCAAAGGTGTGATCTAATGAACACGGACGGAAACTGGACGTCGAAAAGCTACAAACACAAAAGATATCTGATATCGCTCAACACACACTTGTTCGTCGAAAGCACTCCTTGCAAAGACATAGAAACCGTAAAGACTCGACAAAATTAATTTTGACAAAATAGTTTATGAAAAAATATCCAGGGGAATCAGGCATAACAGAGGCATGTTAAGAATAAATACGCCAATACGCGAAAATGTGTGTATAAAATGAAAATAAAATCAGAGATCTGCACTCAAAATATATGTTTTCATTTTATAAGCTTACGATATAACACTAAAAAAGGTTAATATTTAATAATACCTTTATGTCTTTGCTCCTTGTTCTGATAATAATCATCTCACAACCAATTTGAGATTATGATATAGAGTGTATACCACCTAGCCAAGATGATATCATAAAAGCAAATAATCGGCTCAAGAACAATAAAGCAGCAGGAGCCGACGGGCTACTAGCCGAACTATTCAAGACTGGTGGTCAGATGCTGGTCAGGAGCATGCACCAGCTGATTAGTACAATTTGGCTAGAGTAATGCAAGCCCAATGATTGGAACCTCAGCATCCTATGTCCGTGCACAAAAAAGGAGACAAGACGATATGTGCCAACTATAAAGGAATTAGTCTCCTTCCTATCGCATATAAAGTGCTACTCAGCGTGCTGTGTAAACGACTGAAGCCATACCTAGCAAATCCAATATAGACCAGATTTTCACACAGCGCCAAATATGGGAAAATATCCACGAAAAACACATCGACACACTCCACCTATTCGACGAATACAAAACTGCATTCAACAGCCCAATCCGCTCAGAGGTGTTTAAAGCCATGTCAGCGTTCGGCATTCCTGCAAAATAAATACGGCTATGCAGAATAACTTTAACTTGCACAAGGTCAGCAGTTCAAGTCGCAAAGGACCTCTCGGACCCCTTCAATACCGAACGAGGATTTAGACAAGGTGATAGTTTGTTGTGTGATCTTTTTAACACCCTGCTGTAAAAGGTCATACGAGATACAAATGTGAACAGAAATGGCATTCTGTGCAACAACCAACATACGACATCGACATAATGGGTTGAATATTCCGAGCGGTAACAACAGAACAAATTGAGAATTAGTCTGCCAAAGTGGGTCTGGCAGCGAATGGCGAGAAGACCAAGCTGATGGTATCAACGCGCAAGACGTCCAATAGACTCGGACCAACTGTGGAACTTGAGAACTACAGCTTCGAGGTAGTTAAATATTTTATATACCTTGGTACCGCCATAAATAAAACTAATGATATCAGTTCTGAAATCCGGAAAAGAATAGTATTGTCCAACAGATGCTACTGTGGACTGAGTAAGCAATTTAAAAACAAAGTCACTTCTTGTCAGGCCAAACTCACACTTCAGAAGACACGGTTACTACACGTGCTGTTGTATGGATCTGAAGCATGGGTTCTTGGGCAAGCATATGAGGCAGCTCTTGGAGTGTTTGAGAGAAAAATTCTTCGAAATATCTATGGGACGATCTGCTTTGACGGTGAATATCGCTGTCGAATGAACCATGAGTTGCACCATTTGTTCTGGAACATCGACATAATCAGACGCATCGAGCTGCAGGGACTATGTTGACTAGGTCAAGTTGTGAGCTCAAAAGGCAAATAAAGAGAGCCAACTGATGGTTCACGCAGAAGGGGAAGGCCACAAATTCGATGGAAAGATCAAGTGGAAGACAACATTTCGGAACATGGTCTTTCAAACTGGATGAGCTGCGCACTATACCGACGCGCCTTGAAATCTTTTTTAAGGTAGGCTTATGGAACAAACCAAATATATACTTACTCTAAGTGAGTAAGTATATATTTTGCGGACTTTACAATTTTTTACATTTCCATTGATCCCGCCTACTATTAACAGCCAATTACAGTCGAGATTTGAACATCTAATAACCCCAAAATCCCAAATATATTCGTATATGGGGTATTTCATGTTAACATGTTTATTAAAATCTTGTTAAGAGCATCCATGTTCAAGGTCATTTATGGTTCAATTATATTTAACACATAATAATTGCGTTTTTTACTTTTCGGGTTTTTTTGAATGAAACAAAAAAAAAAAACAAAAGACTTAAGACACAAGCACATGTGTATTTACCAAACCAGTCGAATGGTACAGAATAGCATTACAAGGCTACCAAAAACACACAATCATACGTGTATTTCAATCCATTTCGTCAATGCAACATCTTATTCCCATATTTTGGTTTATTTATTTTGGTAATATTGGCGATTTTTTTAATTGAGAGTTTTTTGTATTTTGTGAGTCAAACTTGTTTTCGTAATTTAATCGAAGTTCAGTTGATAACCAATGAAAGTGGGAATGTACTTATTTATTTACATGCACTGTTTAAGTATTGCATTAACATGTTGAATTTATTTATGTTACTTCAAACATATATACAAATATATATAGGGGAAGATATAACGTAATCAGTTTTTATTGCCGCCCAAATATTATTTGTATAATTGGGGTTTTTTGCTGATGACCTTGAAGAGATGATCTAAGGTAAGGTTTTATTTTAAAATTTTTGACAATCATTGATTGAAATCTACATTTGTGTTTGCAATTTCTTATAGGGCCCACATTAATATTAGGCCACTAAAAATGTACTTAACAAACTTTACGTCCAATGGCGTTTACTATAAATAGCATTATTAACACAATTAAGTAATGTAATTGCTCATAAACTGTCCAAATTAAACCACTAATCCATTGTGTCTTTGTGTGTGTGTGTTTGTTTTTAAGGAATCCAAAACAATATTGGATTGCATCCGAACTGAAGAAATAAGCACACGCAAGCTGCATTTAACACATGTTACGAAATGGCGAAAGACAATCAAATTTCTGCTTTGCACAAAATTTACACACAATTGTTGTTGTTGTTGTTGTTGAATAATTGCAAAATAGTTGTTGTAGTTGTTATTTATTATCTCTATGCTTATTGTACAATATTTTATGAACTTTTCAAAAATATAAATTATGCATTTATTGGTTAATTCGATTTGATTAAAAAATCAAAATTCAAAATTCTTTAATATTTCTGAGTGTAATCTTTAGTTTTGTTTTACATTTCGTCGATGTCGATGTCGATTTCTTTTTTTTTTTTTTTTTTGCCCGCTAACCGACAATTCAACTACTCGCTTTGATGTACTGCCAAAAACTATTCTTCGCTGTGGTGGCTAAGTTGAGTCAATGCGCTCCTTGAGCACAAAGAAGAGGGAAAAAATACCAGAAAGCAAAAATTATAAACAAAACTTGTACAGCGCAGCTAAATCAAAACCGATTTTAGCAATACCTGGAAAAATCTCCAAAGCTTAACAGCAGTTATGGTTATTAAACGTCAGTACGTGTGGTGGTGGTTATGTACTAAATTTGGTAATTGTGGTAGTAAACTGTTAAACAATGTTTTCAAAACTTTATACTCTACTCGTAGTACGTAAAGTTTGGTTATACTGCTTGGGAGATCGCTTCGCAAGTCATATGAAATTAGATAAATTGTTTTTTCTGAATATACCCAAAATATATATCAAATTACTCATATTCGCGAGTACAACAATCCTATGTTGATGTTTAGAAATCCCGGAATGCGCATTTAAACTAGAAGTCATTTTCAAAAAACACTCAACATCGAGCTTCAAAATTTCAGCATCATTTAAAATATTTTCGAAAAACGATACATAAGGGATATACTCCCCTTTTTTAGGCTTCTTCTTTT